GGGGGGGGAGGTGTCAGAGACAGAACACACACACACACACACACACACACACACACACCAAGAAAAAAGCCTATGAGCATGCTACATACAATAGCTTCATTTTGGCAAAACTGGAGATTAAGTCTTAAGTAGATTAAATAACACGTCTAAGATCATCAAAGGCACTAAAGTCTTAGAGTAGTATGAGTAACACAAACCAAAGCTGGGAGGGTCAGCCATGGATGGTGTGGCAATAATGGCAGTAGGTGTTCATTTATTGTTTTTTAAATTATTTTATGTGCATAGGTGTTTGGCTTGCTTGTATGTCTGTGTACCACATGCATGCCTGCTGCCCACTGACTAGAAGAGGGCATTATATCCCCTGGAACTGGAAGTACAAATGGTAGTGTGCCAACCCTAGGGATTATGGGAATCGAACCCAGGTCTTCCAGGAGAACAGCAAGTGCTCTTAACCTCTGAGCCATCTCTCCAGCTCTGGTTTGCTTGTTTTTATGTTAAAATCCAGACGTGTCTCTGGTGATAAGAAACTCAGTTTTGAGCACAGACATAAGCACCATTTCTCATGAATGTCCATTGTCCTGCCATGGAACCTGGGTTTGGATTCCAAAGCTACTGGCCAGGCAAATGCCCTGAGAAAAGAGACGTAGTATCTCTCTGAGCCACACTTTCCCTGGCTGGTATTTGAGGATGTCAAAGTTATAGAACAGGCCTGTTATGAGGATTACACTAATAGTGGATTACATTAATATATGAAAAGGGCCAAGTTCAGGCCCCAGTCCCTGGGGAGCACTGCCCAGAGTGGGAAGAATGCCGTTGGTTCTGGAATAGACGACGTTATGCTTGAAATATACTCGCAAGCTGCAATTGGCCCCGCTAATGGTATTTGAGTTCCATAGCAGTCGTTTGTAAATTTGGTCCCCGAGTGTTGTGGGAAAACTCTCCATCTTTAGCCCTCCATGGTTCCCACTTCCCTGTTTATCAACGACCCCTTGGAGCACTTCATCAGAAAACAAAACAAAACAGAAAACTATTTTCTTATAATTTACTGGATCTCCTTCCTGTCAAGCTTCCTCATCTCAGAGTTCTTTTTTAAAATGTGTGTGTGTGTGTGTGTGTGTGTGTGTGTGTGTGTGTGTGTG